AGGTGAAGGGTTTGGTCAAAATACGGCGATGCCATCGTCGCTGACCTTGAACACTTCGGACCTACGTACCTCTTCAACGAGAGTATTCCTCCCGAAACGTTTCAACAAGATAATCACCCCTGGCGTGTTAGCTTCGTACGGCGAAACGCAAGAAAAATGTCACTAGTATACAAAGACGACTTCGAAATTGAATTCATTTATTTGTAACACTTTATAAATAAATAGTATATATATATTTATATATGCATCAAACCTGCAGTTTTTCTTAACCTCTGACACAATGTGGTGAAAAACGAAAACGAGTGTAGCCACAACTCTCATCAAATATCATAGTGGTGAAAAAGTCGGTGACGTCACTCTTCAAACGCCATTGAAAAAATCAGTGACGTTACTCGTTAAATCCCATTGAAAAGTCCAAACGACTAGTGGGGGTGTCTGGAAGGTGGAAACGAGGGGGTGAAAACTATCTCGCTAGACGCCATGACAGGAAAGGTGGAGGGGGTAAAACGGACGTTCTTATTAAGGAATTTTAAAACATTTGACAAATAACTGAGGTGCCGTACACCTGTTAACACACGACTCTTTAAACAAATAATTTTCCAGATTCCACAACTACAACACGGAAAATTTAGAATTTTTTTTAAAATTTCGTTATAAAGCGATAGTCAAGAGTAATTAGGCCGAAAAACACACCACACCGCCGTCAAGCAAAGCTGTGCCAAAATTACACACTAAAACAATGCACATGTCTATTATATAAATATAACTTCATTAGATTTCGTGGTCCGATTGGGCAAATAACATGTTGAAATTAATTAATCTTTATGTAAGGTATTGGTTGAGATAAAAAAGTCAGTGCCACGAGTGGGATTCGAACCCACGACCTTCCGCTAAATACGCCGCTGCTCTACCACTTGAGCTATCGTGACTTCGATCCTCTCGGACCCTAACTCGCCATCTGAACCCAACCTTTCGAATTTTCAAAAAGAGACAAAAAGGAGGGAAAATTAGAGTGTCCGAGTGGATCGACGTCACGATAGCTCAAGTGGTAGAGCAGCGGCGTATTTAGCCGAAGGTCGTGGGTTCGAATCCCGCTCGTGGCACTGACTTTTTTATCTCAACCAATACCTTACATAAAGATTAATTTATATACATAACTATCCAAAATAATTCTATATCTCTCCCCCCGGGTTTTGTTTATACTGTTGGCCTATACCTTATATAAGTTGGGCTACCATCAGTATGAAGTGGTAGAAAAACTTCTTTGTTTTTTAATAAAGATGTTATTTGGAGCACCCTATTATACACCAAGTTATTTTCTTTATTTGGAGTTAGGCTTTAGACCTATGTTTGTGTATTCGTTGAGGAGTCATTTAAATTATATACAGCGGGTTTTGGGTCTGAAACAAGATCGTTTGCTCTACCTCCTTGCGCAGGAGACAAAAAATTTTTTTGTTTTGTTAAAAGAATTGGAAGTGTTGTCTTCCGGATTGAACTGTAGTTCTCGTATAAATTTTACAGATGCCAAAGATTTCAAAATTTTGGCGGTACAATTATTGCAGGCAGTAGAAACTCATCATAAAGAAGAATTAAATTCACTAATTTCGTGGTCCGCTTGACCAATTAATATATTACAATTATTAGTCGAGATGAAAAAAAAGTTAATGGCACGAGAGGGATTCGAACCCACGATCTTCGGCTTGATACGCCGCTGCTCTACCACTTGAGCTATCGTGACCTCGATCCACTCGGACACACACCTCCCATGTCAACCCCACCTTTTTGCCATTTTTCAAATGTCGTGTAATCGGTTTGGATTCTCGACGACAAATCAAATGGCCACGGAGAGCTGTAGTGAAGTATATTTCATTTTTAATCATTAATTCATTAATTACGTCGACGAAAATCCACTCGGACACGCTTATCAAGTCGAAGATCGTGGGTTCGAATCCCGATAGTGCCATTGACTTTTTTATCTCAACTAAAAACCTTAATTAATTGCAATATATATAATTGGTCAAGTGGACCACGAAATTAGTGAATTTAATGATTAAAAATGAAGTATTATTTTGCAAAAAATGTAATATTTTGTTATCTTTTCTAAATATACTTTTATAAAAAATAAAAAATAAAAGGGAATGCTGCTATTAGTGGATAGTTGGTGTATGTCTACTCCTTCATACGTACGGATACACCTATGAACAAAATTAACGCACCGCTCAAATTTATTAACTAATTTTAAAAAAACAAACATTTATTGAGTAAAGAACAGAAAGTAAAAAATTCAAAAACAAATAACAAATGTTTAAAAAAACTGTTTTGTTCTTCCCACTTCTGGCACTAATCAATCAAAACGTTTTTCATTCACCGAAAAGACTGCTAATAATATCCTGAGGAATTCTTTCCAATTTATCAAGAACAGTCGTTCCCAATTCGTCTAGAGTGTTAGATGACGTGGGATTCGCCGTGGTACTCGTCGCTTAAATTGGTCCCAAATGTGTTCGATTATGAACAAAAATCTGAACTTCAAGCCGGCCACACCCGTCACTGAATTCCAACCTCATTCTGGTCATCGTCAATACATGCTCTATTGGTTCTGGCGTTATCCTGCATTAGCAACAATCTTTCACCGATGTGGGGGGCAAATGGCACTACATGTTCTTCGATGATGTAAGTAAATCTGTGAAGTCACGATTTCTTCCTCGTACAACAACCAAGACCCACCGTGGGTGGAATTCCACCTGAGGAACCATGCAGCATGGAGCGTACCTTTTTCCTAAACGATTAACTGAAAGCGATCTTTAGACGCGGCAGAATGGAATGGCACAATGCTGATTTGTGTGCAAATCGGATTAATCAGTACAAACATAAAGTAAGTAAACAAAGCATTATTTAATGTTTATTCTGTCTACGGTAATTCCTAATCATTGTAATTGGTTTAATTTTAAACTAAATAAATTGAGTGGTGTGTTAAATTTGTCCATTAGTGAATTTAATTATAATAGACATTTCTATATTGAGAAAATAGTAGTTTTATAATAAATTACAATATTGATAATAATGGCTACATTTATAACTAATTATTCAGAAATCGTGAGAAGCGGTCTGTCTGGTGTGATGTAGGTTTCAGAAAAACATTTTCTTTATCGTGCCAACGTTTCGATCTTTATTGAGATCATCTTCAGGGCCTGGGATTTAAAAACATTGTTTNAATAAATCCCAGGCCCTGAAGATGATCTCAATAAAGATCGAAACGTTGGCACGATAAAGAAAATGTTTTTCTGAAACCTACATCACACCAGACCGCATCTCAAGATTTCTGAATAATTATTAGGATTAACGCTCACTAATCACCATACATTTATAACGTTGATCGACCTCAACAGTTAAACTTATTTTTCCTTCTTGAAGGTGGGATAATAGGTCATCTCAAAAAACCACAACCAGTTTTTATCCACGTTTCGGATTTATTTTAATCCTTCTTCAGGTGAGTTAACGCAATGGTTAAAACAGTGGTCGTCAGTCATTTATATTTTATAACAGTTGATTTTAAAAAAGAGCCAGTGCGGTACTTATTCAGACTACAAACAAACGTTTTAATATTTTGAACCTGACTAGAATTTTTGGGGCACCGCCAAACCTTCCAAGCCAAAGTCCCCAGAATCATAGTCAATGCTCCTAAATACTCTCCAGCAAACAAAAAATAAAGAAAATAAAATAAAAAATAATTTACAAAACATTTTTCCACACCAGACTCTCCTCACCCCAACCGAGCTGCCCAATCCTTATCCAATAAAAACCACCCCTATAATCGCACCAGACGACTGAAGAGGAGATGGTCTCGCGACCTACTTTACGAGGATTAGGCCTCGCGTATAGCTGGGAAAACTACAATGGTTGTTGACACCCTTCATGACTAAAATCCATGCCAAATGTAAATTTAACGCATTACATGTTGTAAATAATGTTACAGATTGTAATTTTTTTAAAATTTATTTGTTACGTATATAGGATTGTATACTATGCAAATATGTACACATGATTAATATATCACACAGCACAACACTGCACCAGTAGAATACATGCTGTGAGGAGCCAGCCATTGCTGGCACTCAGTGTGTATGACTAGGTGTCAAGGAGGTCCCGAGGCCATCGTCGGTTGAGGCGAAGTGGTGGGTTGTCAGGATGGGAATGAGTGGATAGGTACTGGTTGGCAGCAGCATGGTTCGAAAGGTTGGTATGGAATGTTTGGAATCTGGACCGGATTAGTTCGTTGACAAAAGGAATGTTGAGGTCTTTGTGGATAGTGAGGTTAGTGATATAATAAGATGCTTTGACAATTTGTCTAAGGACTTTCTATTGGAAGATCTGGATGCGCTGGATATTGGAAGGCTTGGCAGTGCCCCACAGTTCTACTCCGTATGTCCATATTGGTCTTAGTAAAGTCTTGTACAGTGTTAGCTTGGTATTAATTGTCGAAATCGATTTTAGTCTTAAAAGTCTTCGTAGTAGTCCAGTTCTTGTATTAAGTTGTTGTTTTTCTAGTCTTGTGTGGGGATTCCACGTCAGTCTGCTGTCGTGTTAAAGTCCCAGGTATTTGCCTTGAGTGGAAACTGGTATCTCTTTGTTGTTGATGTAAAATGGAGTGCAAGACTGCTTTTTCAGCGTAAAACTGCATTTTTCATCGTTCAGTCTTGTCCTCCATTTTTTAAACCAGTCTTCGATAAGCTCAAGATGTTCCTGGATGTAGCTTGGCCAGGATTCTAGTTAGAGGATAGGATTGCGGTGTCGTCCGCGTAGGTGGTGATAATAGTGTCAGGATGTGTTGGTAGGTCAACAGTATAAATGATAAATAGGACAGGACCAAGGATACTCCCTTGCGGTACACCGGCCTGTGTCAGTTTGACTTCCGAGAATTCATTGCCGCACCTCACTCTGAAACAGCGATCACTTAAATACAATTTCATTAAAAGGTAATAATGAGAGGGTAGGAAGCGCTTAAGTTTAAAAAGTATGCCTGGATTTCAGACCCTCAGATAGTAATAAATAAATTAAATAAAAGCAGAACTTATTAACCGATAATGATAATTGTACTTTGATTAATACTTAGCAAATATACCTTGGTTTTTAAAGGTTGCACTAAAAATTTTTATGTAGTTTTTTGAATAATAGGACAGTGCTTTTGCCATAGCACTTGTGATCCTATAGAAATAAATTTTATGTAAATGATTACACCAGTTACAAGAAATGTTCTTATTGTCTTTAAGGAATAGTCTTTCATTTTAAACACTACTTCTCAGATGGGGTACCATTAATATTTAAATTAGTTGGTTTTATTTAAACAATCTTTATTTACATTATTTGATAATTCCGTTAGCGTTGTTTTTGCGTTTAAAGTTTTGAAGAACGGAGTTGGTTTTGAGAGCATTTGAATAAATGTTTTCACAAGTGTTACTATGTCAGTAGAAGTTTTCAACACAAATGAAGGTAATAAGGAAATAAAGCGGAACCATATAAAAACAAGAGGGAAGGGTGGGACCTCAGTCTAAAAGCAGCGATGAGGATACTTCATGTAGTTGTAGCGTTCGCAGCTATTCAGACCGCATTATCAACTGATTTTTTGCCAATATAGTAAGAAATTTTCAGTTATCACAGTCGATCCAATTGGAGACATAACATACGAAAAATACTCACTGTTTCATGTCCTGCCACAATATATCAAGGAGAAATATTTGTCATTACTACGTTTGTAATCAGCTTGCAGGCGAATAAACATAGTTTTGAATTTTTTAGCGTCCATACTGCCACCTGGTTTGTGAAAGGTGAACTTCCGCCGAACGACCTCGAACAATTTCTTGGCCTAGTAAGATTACGAAAGGGTATTTGTGGAATACGATGATCATATATTTTCTTTTAGGATCAACAGCAAAAGCCAGACTTGATCGTGGTCACATTGCAAGGTCTGAACCATAGCACCAGCAAAACGGCGTTCAAGTCAGTGCAGAACCAGTGGTCCAGTGCGATTGGCACTAAATTGTTAAGGAGTGGGTTTGTTCAGGTAAGTAAATCAACAGGTCTTAAATCTATTATCACGGACATGCGTCTATCTTAAGGGTTTCAATATCTCATGGTCTTTGCAATTGTAGATCACGGCTGTTGTTAGTGGAACGCTCGGTAATTTTATATACCAGATCGACAAGTACAAAACATTTCATATTCGGGACATATTAAATTCGACGGCATTATCAGTAGATGAGAATCCGGTACCGAGTGCTCTTGTAACCACAATCGGTTGGTTCGGCCGCCGGATCACGATCGTCAACACAAAATTTACAGGAAAGGAGAGTGAAGTCGAAACCAGATTCTGGGAGTTCTACTACATCGACATGTCGAGAGGCTTGTACTTCAACGACCACGTTTTCTGGATGGGAAGACTGAACTTCAGGGTGGACAAAAAGGCCGCCGATGCTAAGAAGCTCATCGATGCGAACAAGTTGGACGATTTGCTCGCTCACGACCAACTGAAGAAAGGACAACGTTCTTATGACGTGTTCATCGACTGGAAAGAACAGAAGATCAATTTCAAACCGACTTACAAGTTCCACCAGAATTCAGATGAATACAATTTGGACAAGACGCCATCTTGGCCGGACAGGATATTATACAAAACGGAGGGAAATCGTACTTTAGACGAATTGAAATATCAAAGCTTGAATTACAAGCAGTTCAGTCAAAGGCCTGTCATGGCTCAATTCTCTTTCAATCAGCCATTGAAACGGAAATAATAATAAAATTATTATTTTAAAGAAATAAAATATGTGTTTCTCGATTTATATACAAATAAATGTATGTTGAAATCAATCCTCAGTTTAAACATTTTCCGCTTTATAATTGGTCTTATGTGATAACTTCTGAATATTGCAGTTACGTCGTGGCAACGGTGAAATAACAAAGATAGGACAGATAACAACCTGGGCGAGCACAGACCGGTATTTTCTCACCAATACATCCAAATATTTGAGATTTCTCGAGGCATGCCATGTCTGAACCCGCAGCTTGGGCGTTTCCAATCTGCCTAACCACACCACTGATAATTCTCTCATCAAAATGATCGGAAACGACTCATGCACAATAATGCTTAACTTTTAAAATTATCATTGTTATCGCACTGTTTCAATAAACTTTATTAAAAGTTGACTAACCCTCCGGGGTCAATGATGACTCCTGGTCTCCCTTTCTTCCACTGCGACCTAAAAAATCTATTGTGGAATTGACCCTTCTATATATTTCCAAACTCCGAATAGTGCACAACCCTACAACCCTAGACCCTTAAGGTAGTTGACCATTTTTCTGATTACTTTTTGCTTATTTCCCTAGCCTTTCCGAAGAGCCGTTTCACGGCTAATCATCTGTAGTTCCATAGGACATGTCGCGATGTTTCTCATTTTAATGACAGAGTCTTACTAACGCCATTGTGTATGGTGGTAATTTTTGTTTTCCAGGTTGAGATTTGAGGAAGTTTGATTGTTCCCCACTGGTGAATTCACCCAGTCGGTCTTTCCGTCTCCATCCATTGACTCAGTTCCGCTTTAGCACGCTTTCGGTGTACCAATTGCGGTTCTGGACCAAACGTTGTGAGAGCTGCACCTGGTTTTGCTAGGTTTCGAAGCAGTAAGGTAGGTGTGGTGATTAGTGACCGTTAATCGATAATTATTCAGAAATCGTGAGATGCGGTCAAAACTAAAATTCCTCCAGAAATCCAGAACTTCTTATCACTTGGTCCCAAACATTCCATTCCTTACAACAAAACAGATTTTCCAACAGCTAAATTAATTACGGATGTAGACTATGCAATCCAAAAATCCACAAAAACAGAGGAAGAAAAAGACATAACACGATCAAAATGAATTAACACAATAACAAATCACTTACAACACCTCACTACAAATCAACACAACCTATCAACAAACATATACCAAAACCAAAAATTTTCTCAAAAATAATCCTGACATACTCATTCTTTCTGCCGATAAGACCAAACAAACAGTAGCAATCAGCAAAAAAAGATTACAAAGAAAAAAATTGACAAAATTATCACAGACACAAACACATACAGCATAATCAAATCAGACCCTACTCCTCGCATCAAACAGACAAACAAAATTCTCCAAGAAACACTTAAACGAAAAGAAATTGACATACACACCTACAAATCACTTCAAAACAACTCACACCTCCGAAACTATATGGATCTGTAAAAACACATAAACCCGAACACCCTCTAAGACCCATAATTTCAATTGTAAACTCGCCCACATATAACATGACATAATACCTAACCAACATACTCAACATCATAGATAACACATATAATGTAAATGATTGATTTCATTTAATTAACAAAATTAATAATATCCACATCCCCTCACACTACTCTCTTGACCGCATCTCACGATTTCTGAATAATGGTAGTAAGGTATGTTAGACATTCCCAGACCAACTTTGTGTAAAAGATAGTCAAAAGCGTGCTGCTTGTTTGTCTGAGAAAAGGTATATCTATGCACATTTTAATACTTTTTAAATAATTTCTTGTCCAGCATAGTGGATCTCAACTTGGAAAATTGATGGTGTGGCTCCATCTATTACACCATAATAAGGCTATTACTACCTTCAGGGTTTTACTATTGGGTCTCAGGACAGGCCAGAGTAAGCGAAGAGAATGGGATAGAGAATTTAAGAATGGGATATACCGACCAACATTTCCAAAGCTTCTGAGTTATTTAAGTCCTGTAATACCGAACACACAATTTGGATTCAGAGCATCTCATTCTTGTCCGTGGCAACTCCACAGAGTAGTGGATAAAATACTACAAACTTATGAGGGAAAAAGTATTGCCTAGGTTTATTTATAGATACTGAAAAGGCCTTCGATCATGAGGCATGAGGGCTATATAAGATTAAAAAGTTACTACCTGATACATACTACCGGCTGGTGAAGTCTTATGTGACCGACAGAAATTTTTTTGTCAGCTATAAAGGAGCGAACTCTGAAGTACACAACATCTCAGCGGGTGTTCCTCAAGGAATTGTTCTGGGACCCCTCCTTTACATTCTGTTCGAGCATGACTTTCCAGCAGATAGCAACATCGAAATAGCCCAATTTGCCGATGACAAAGCAGTACTGTCCCAAAGTATCACGCTCAGTGATGCAGAAACGAAGATGCAGAATTACTGCCAAAAAATTGATGATTGGGCATCCAAGTGGAAAGTTAAGCTGAATTCAACTAAGTCCAAACTCATTAACTTCACTTATAAGAAGACCTCAAGGCCCTCACATATAGTACTCGGTGGAACTAATGTACCTCAAGCGGACTCATATAAATACTTAGGGCTGCACTTGGACTCGCATCCCACCTAGAATACCCACATATCCTCATCTGTAACGAGAATTCGCTTGCGTATTCGCAATATCAAACCAATTCTCTCTAGCAATTCTGTCCAAATTCCACTTAAGCGACTCCTTTATCTAAGCCTAATAAAACCAATTTGGTTTTATGGCTCGCCCATTTGGTGTTCTGTATCCGCCTCGCAAATAAAAAGGATACAAACGCTGCAGAACCGTGTATTACGGTTAATAACAAACGCGCCCTGGTTCGTAAGGAATGAACAGCTCCATCATGAAATATCGTTGAAATCGGTAGAAGACGAACTAAAGAAGAGATACCCGATGCTGCTTGCCAAAGCTGCTGAATTGCACAAATTCCAGCGAATATGCCTCCACCCCGCCAACAAAGACGGCTAAAAAGAAAGCATACGGACTACAGATTGTAAATATGTGTTAATGTAAATAAGTGCTAGTGTAAACGTGCGCCTGACGTTATATGATTATAGATAAAAACAAAAAAGTAGGTTAATTTATTTATTAATGAGATATTTATTTATCTCAAAGTATTATAATACTCCAGTGAATTATTGTTTGGGCTGCCATAGGGCAGGACCCACCCTCAAATGCCATGTTAATCACACTTTTTGAGTGTGCTGTATATCAGTATTTATTAGCAAAACATAATGTGTATGTACGCAAGAGTTAAATAAAATAATTAATAAAAAAAAGGTCCTGAACCGTTTTGTTGTATATTCACAAGGAAAGAAAATATGGTGAAAGTGAATTAACCTTTGTTCTACAACGTACAAAATGACCCAACAATTTCAAAAACGAGCGTGTGTCAGAGGGTAGTGATCGGAAGGGGTTGAGGCTTTTAGTAGCTTTCCTTCTAGTATTCCTGTAGACACGGACGCCACTGGTAAGTGACCTTGTAATATTCGAATAAAGTAGATAAAGTAACATTCCAAACATTTATGGATTCTATTTTTAGAGACATAAACTACGGTTTTGTCTATGTTGGCGGCATTCTTATAGCTTCAGCAAATGAAGACACAACAAGATGTTGTGTACCTTGAACACGGTATTACAGTAAACACAAATAAAAGCTTTTTCTGGGTACAGGAAGTGGAATTTTTGGGGTATAGGGGAATAAATGTATTACACAGCTACCAGCTAAGGTTCAAGGAGTTATTGATTTTCCCAAACCCGAAAACAAAGGACGACTGAGATTTCTGGGCGTGGTAAACTTCTATCGTCGTTTCTTGCAACGCAAAAGCAGCAGAACGTACTTTAAATAAGTTAACAGGAAACACAAAACAAGAATGACAGAACGCCCGTTTCTTGGCCTCCGGAAGTAGAAAATGCTTTTTGACAATGGAAACTCAATTGACACGAACAATCCAAAAAACGTCCTGACGAGATATGGAAAGAGAACTACAGAACACATCACAGTAAGTAGGAATTCTCCGAATCCGAACTTTTATTTTAATCAGTTCCAAGATAGTTTTCAGTTGACCTTGCAGAATTGGAGAACCTTTAGACTTGGCTTGCTATCTAATAGTTCCATTATTGTTACACCCTTGCGATGTTTGTTAATTATTTCATATGAACATGTTTCTATTGGCCACTTAGTCTGAAAGATGGCTGTGGTAGTAGTCGAGGACCATGTTGTGCTCATAGTTAGGCCCCTTTATGCGCATTCCCGTACCATTTCTTATCCTTGCGCCGTCCATATGCGAAAGAAGACCTCCAATTATTTCTATTTATTGAATCCGACCATCCATTTATTCAAAATTGTTAATTAGTCGGGAAAATTAGTGGGCGGTATGTTAACGTCAATATTAATCCTTTAGATATTTGTTCCATACGGTTGTATATCAAGTAGAGTTCATCCAGCAGAAGTTCTAAAACAAATTAATCAACCAATGTCATCAATATTTGTCATATAAATAATAAAACAAACTGACCAAACGAATACAAATATTTAATTATGTAAACCAACTTTAATATGTATTCACTATTTTTCCTGGTCCGCTTGACCAATTAACATTATCCAATTAATTAAGGTTTTAAGTTGAGATAAAAAAAAGTCAGTGTCACGAGCGGCATTCGAACCCACGACCTTCGGCTTGATACACCGCTACTCTACCACTTGAGCTATAGTGACTTCGATCCCCCCGGGCACCAACTTCCCATCTCAACCCCACCTTTTGAATTTTCCCTCCTTTTTGCCATTTTTCAAAAGGTGGGGTTGAGATGGGAAGTTAGTGCCCGAGTGGATCTAAGTCACGATAGCTCAAGTGGTAGAGTAGCGGCGTATCAAGCCGAAGGTCGTGGGTTCGAATCCCGCTCGTGACACTGACTTTTTTATCTCAACTTAAAACCTTAATTATATGGATGATATTAATTAGTCAAGCAGACCACGAAAAATAGTGAATTTAATGATTTAAAAATGAAGTATACTTCACTAAAGCTCTCCATGGCCATTTCACTTGTCGCCGAGAATCAAGTAGATTACACGACATTTGAAAAATGGCAAAAAGGAGGGAAAATTCAAACAGGTGGGGTTGAGATGGGAAGTTAGTGTCCGAGTGGATCGAAGTCACAATAGCTCAAGTGGTAGAGCAGCGGCGTATCAAGCCGAAGGTCGTGAGTTCGAATCCCGCTCGTGACACTGACTTTTTTATCTCAACTTAACACCTTAATTAATTGTTTAATATGTATTTAAAATATATAAAAAACAAAAATACTGAGACAAAAAGGTTTTAATTACATACTAGAACAGCAAAAACAGGGAAACAGGAAGACTATGGACATGGTGATCCAATTACACTCGAAAATATAAAACCTTTATTACACATGAAAATAAATTTCAAAACAGACAATAGTTACAGAAATACATACAATTACAATAGTAGCAAATTTGTAATGGCACTTGTAATACTAAATTTAATAAATATATATTAATATTGTATATCACATTGTCAAAATGAGGGTAACAGATACAAAAATAGATACTGGAGTTATAGATCACATTTCCATCACATGTACAGCACCACGATCATCTACGATCGGCCTACTGAAGTTTGTCCAGTGGATGCTACAATGCGCCTTTGGAAGCCAGAAATTGCACGTTTTGGTTATATTTATAGTAATATTATTTCTTACATTACAAACATTATCATTTTTTAATTAGGAGACGGAATCACTCTCAGAGTGTTAGAAAAAGACGGTTTAACCATAGATGAATAAGGTGAAAGGCGAAGAGAATTATAGGTTATGCACAATACGTAATTTTACGCCATTTCGCAAATTTGAAATTGATTGGTTTCTTAACACATTCTTGATATATACTTTCGTTTCAGGAACCGAAACAGCTCGATTATTTAAATAAATATTTCATTGCGATAGGAAATACTATTAGTGCAAATAAAAGATAAGTGGAATATTGTAACAACAGCCAACTTCATACCCCTAATCCAAAAAAATTCCGTTAAAAAAAAAAAACATAACTAGAAATTATTAAAACAGGTAATACTATAAATTCAAAAAGCACTGGACCAGACAAAATCTCTATCATTATTATCAGATTGATTATGAATAAAATTAGTCATATATTTGCTGATATTTTTAACACGTCCATCTAAAATAGTATATATTCCGATGATTGGAAAAGGTCCTATCCTCTACCTAAAACACAAATCCTACTTGTGTCGTTCCCATTTTCGTCCAATTAATATTTTAGCTTGCCTTAGTATTTGATAAACTATTATTTAATCAAATCTATCAATTTGTTGAAAGTAATAATATTATTTAAGGTTTTAGACGTTTCAAGCCAGATACCGGAAAATTGTCAAATGACATAAAACTGGTATTGATGATAGATTATGATAAACTCATTTCAGTGCTCTGATCAATAAATCAATCTATCATGTAATGTTGTTAACTGGTTTCGATCTTATATTTCCAATAGGAAAGCAAAAAGCAATTATTCTAATTGGATGTTTAGCAATCGTGGTGTCGCTCAAGGGTCTACGCTATCGGCCTTATTGTTTATCCTATACGTAAACGGAATATGTTACGAAATCACTAACCGCCTCTTTTATTTGTAAATCGAAGACCTGAATGTATATGTAAATTCTCGATTATCAAATATAAATATAAACATATTAAGGAGCGACATAAAAACATAAAAAAAGTGTAGCGATGATCATGGCTTATCAATTGCTATTAAAAAAATTAAAGTGATCACAAGCAGTTTGCAAATTTAAAGAAAGATATTATAGAAATCAAAATTGATGATAACGTATTAATTTTAAAACAACGAATTAAAAATTCTAGGCTTAGCAGCAGATAAATATTTAATCTGGAAGTTCTTATCGTTTGTATTTTGAATTAGGTAAACTTTATTTGTATGTAGGAATGCTCGTTAAAAATAAGAAGTCCTGAGACCTAATTTAGCGAGCTTTTATAAATAAAATGTTCAATTTAATTCATCAGTCGATTATTATCGATTATCGCTGAAGAACTTTCGGACAACCAGGTAATCAGATGTTCTTAACTTTCCCTGAAGATATAATTCTAATACAGAAAGTCAAAATGATAGAAAATTTAATAAAGGCTTTCAGTCTGTACTGCTGAGATCAACTCCAGATAGAACGTCTAGAAAAGGAAAAAACAAAGTAGTTGATAAAAAAAGAGCTGCTGAAAGTAGTGAAAGAAACTTGTTCCTCACAAAACTGTCACATCAACTTATCAACAACAAAAGAAATGTGGAAAATAGCATTAGAAAATATCCACAAAGCAAAAGCCCAAACAAAAAAATATTATGATAAACGCCATACAAAAATCGATTTGGCCATAGGAGATTTAGTTTTCTTACGCGCTTACAATCTGTCTAAAGCGGCCCATATACGCTCAATATTATTGCGCAATATTTAGGTTTGTGCAATACAGTTGATCGTGTGTAGTCGAAATTGAAAGGTTGTGCAATATATTGTGGTAAATTCAAATCCTTGAAAATATATTGTGCAAACGGGAAAAGGTTGTGCCGTCTGTAGGCAATATTGCGCAATATCCCATCAGTCAGTATCAACACGTGGTAGAGTACGCGTCGTCATGGCTGCCAAGGAAGCTGATAGGCAATTCATTTTCGAAGTCATTGACATTTATCAGGGAGAACCCTCACCCCAAGATACAAGACCCTTTTTCGCTACTTTTCGCTAAACTTTGTTTTGTTTCAACTATTTTGTTTCTTATTACTTAGCATAGTTTTTTGTCTGCCTTTTTGCGAGCTCTTCTTCTTTTTCGCACTGGCACCCACAGCGATAATCACACAACACAAATCACTATCACTCAACATGACTTCACTACATGAAATTCTGGTTGGAACTAATTGCACAATATATTGCCTTGAAGGTTGTACGTCTGTGCTCGCGATTGTGCAATATATTGCACAACCATCAATATTGCCTGCATACGATACAATTTATTGCACAAATCAAAATATTGCGCAATAATATTGAGCAGTGTAGGGCCTCCGTCAAAATATTGTGCAACCCACATTGTGCAATAATATTGAGCGTGTATAGGCCGCTTAACGCCAACAAACAATTCGCAGCAAAACTAGCATACAAATATAACGGACCCTACAGAATAATAGAAAAACACTCAAATGTGTCTTACCTTCTCCAAAATTCGGAAAACCCCAATGACATTAAAAGAGCACACATTTCCCAATTAAAACCATTTGTCCTCAAATAAACAAGCATAATCACAATACTAACTAGGGTTACACGTGTCACTAACAAATCACAGTCTAAATAGTAAATAACAATAAAGATGCAATAGAAATAATAATAAACAAATCATTTATATACATATACACGGCACTCTCAACACGACACGCAAAGATGGCACAATTACACAGAAGACAAACACTTTGAGTCCTGAAGATGATCTGAATAAAAGATCGAAACGTTGGCTCGATTTCTTGTCTCCTCGAAGTAGTCTTGCTCCGTTATGGGACAGAAGTTGGCTGGAACCCCCTGAACCCTGTAATGTATAAGTTCGGAGCCGACTGGTATAGCATGTATCCTCATCCGAAATACTTGGACGACCAATCGTGCGCCATCCGAGACTATGTGGACATAACGAGGTGCTTTAAATGCCAGGGTTATGGACACATTGCTATCACTTGCCCCAAACGTGAGCCGGTGTGCGGCCGATGCGCTCAGGCGCATGACTCTAGAGACTGCAAAGCTCTAAACTGCGCAAACTGCTTGCGTATTGGAAGACCCCATGCCCATGCTGTGGCCTCTAGAGGATGCGAGGCACACATGAGGGCTGCAGTAAAAATAAAGTGTTTTACGGACTACGGGGAAGCCGTACAGCATTCCACTGAAGCCGAAAGGACTCAACATTCTACCCAATTTGCCAGCGAGAAGTTCCTGAACAGACACTTCAGAAAAGCCCCGAGGAACAGCATACGCTAGCGGACAAGAAAATTGAAGATTTGAGATCACCTAATCTCAACTCATGATGACACCACACAGCAGAACCACTAAAGCTCCCTTAAGGCTAGCACAGTTAAACTTCCACGGCTCACAAACTGTCTGTGACAAGGCCCGCGTCCTTGCTCAAGAACAAAAAATAGATATTCTACTAGCACAGGAACCCCGGAAAAAAGGTACCGAGCGAGCAATGGGTCTAGCTGCGCAGGTAACCGTTGGGCCGCACTCTACTTCTCCGCGAGCAGCAATTTATGTTCTCAGCAGGAGCCTAAAAATTCAGACTCAGGAGCACAATCCATTATGGGGATGAGACTTAATGTTTTTTTTTTCATTACCCTTTGCACCGACCACCCGGGCGCTGTAAGAAGCCGAAAAGGCTCAAGGAACAGCCC